GTTGCAGTGAGCCAAGATTATGCCCCTGCACTCCAGCCTGGGACTCTGTCACACACACACAAAAGATATGCAAATATACCAGACACCTAATCCAGGACTTTGGGAGGCCAAGGTGGGGAATTTCTCAGTTTGTCTGTATCCTTACTGATTTTCTGTGTACTTGTTCTATCAGCTGGGCATGGTGGTGAGCACCTGTGATCCCAGCCACTCAGGAGGCTGATAGAACAAGTACACAGAAAATCAGTAAGGATACAGACGAACTGAGCAATTAATTTCCCTTAGGACATTCACAGAACTCTCCACTCAGTAACAGCAGAATACACATTCCTTTCAAGGGCATTTGGAACACTCACGAAAATAGAAATGTCATGGGCTATGAAACAAATCTCAGTAAATGTAAAAGGACTGAAATCAAGCAATGCATGTTATCTGAACAAAATTGAATTACATTAGAATCCAGGCCGGCAGGCGCACAGTGGCTCAAGCCTGTAATCCCAGCACTTTGGGAGGCCGAGGCGGGTGGATCACGAGGTCAAGAGATCAAGACCATCCTTGTCAACATGGTGAAACCCCGTCTCTACTAAAAAAAATTACAAAAAATCAGCTGGGCATGGTGGCGCGTGCCTGTAATCCCAGCTACTCGGGAGGCTGAGACAGGAGAATTGCCTGAACCCAGGAGGCGGAGGTTGTGGTGAGCTGAGATCACGCCATTGCACTCCAGCCTGGGTAACGAGAGCGAAACTCCGTCTCAAAAAAAAAAAAAAAGAATTACATTAGAAACCAAAATGGAAAGATACCTGAAAAATACCCAAATATTTGAAAATTAATTCACTTTAAAATAACCCAGAAGTCAAAGAAGAAATCTCAAGGAAGATTACAGAATATTTTGAACTGAATGAAAATGAAAACCAAAGCATTAAAATGTATGGAACAAAGCTAAAGTAATACAGGGATATTTGAATATTAGGGTAACATCGTTTGGTGTTTTGTTTGTTTTAAATGATGTCTCGATCCAGTTGTGAGGCCCTGGGTAAGAGGTCAGTGAGTTTTCCTTTTTTTTTTTGAGACAGAATTCCTCTGTGTTGCCCAGGCTGGAGTCCAGTGGTGTGATCTCGGCTCACTGCAAACTCCAGCTCCCGGGTTCAAGTGATTCTCTTGCCTCAGCCACCGAAGTAGCTGGGATTACAGGTGTGCACCATGTCCCACTATTTTTTTTTTGGGTGGGAGACAGGGTTTTGCCATGTTGGCCAGACTGGTCTTGAACTCCTGACCTCAGGTGGTCTGCCCACTTTGGCCAAAGTGCTGGGATTACAGGCCTCACAGTGACTCACTCACCATGCCCGGCGAGTTCTCCCTTTTGGAGCAGTGAATTAAGTCCACACCCCAATCACCTACCTTGTTGAGCTCTCACAGTCTGGATCACTACACACCCACCCTTGTCCCCTGGGGCTACCTCAC